GCACAACCCTGAGCTTCCGGTTTCTTGCCACTTCAATTCTCACTCGCACTCTGACCTCTCCATCCAGGGTGTTCCAATGAGCCACAGCACAAGCTCGAGGAACAGCACCTCATTTATCTGCTGGGAACCTTACAGCCGTCTGACCTCAATATTGATTTCAATGATTTCGGACCATCAGCTCACCTTCCCACCTCCTTTCTGTGACCATTGCCACATCATCTGGGTTCCAGACACACCTTTTCTCTCTGGTCTGCTTATTCTGTTGTAATTTTTTCCACCTTTTTTGCATTATTAACACTTCTATTCGCCTGCTTTGTTGCAATCCCCCCATTTGTTTTGCATCATTAACACATCTTTAACCCATCATCCCCTCCCTCTCACCCGCCTCTGTCCCCCCCCCCCCCCCCCCCCCCCCCCTCCCCCCCCCCGTCCCTCCCCCCCACCCCCCCCCCCCCCCCCCCCCCCCCCTCCCCCCCCTCCCTCTCCCCTCCCCCCCCCCCCCCCCCTCGCCTTCAGCCTCCACTCTAACCATCAGTCCCCTTTTCCTTCAGCCCTCACCTCCTTGACCACCTCAGTCCCTCTCACTTCTTCCTGCTCCCATTTCTCCTTTGTCTTCCTTGCCCTGCCTCCCCCCTTTCTGTTAGCCCTTAAGCGCTCTGAGACGCCGTCCGGTGTGGAGGGCGCTATATAAATCCAAGTTGTTGTTGTTAGCCCTTAAAAGCCTCTCCCTCCCAACATGCCCCGGGTCTGACGAAAGGTCGTGGACCCAAAACGTGCCTCACTTTCCTTTCTCCATAGATGCAGCCTGACCTGCTAAGTGTTCCCAGTAACTTCTGTTTCATGAATCTTTACTCCACCAAAGAGTCAGTACGTTCAGCCTAGCAGGAGCAGTAAGAAAACATAACAAAATATTTTTTTCAAGATTGCTCTTCTTTCAGCAGCAATGTAATTGACTCATTGTGATAAGTGGCACTTAGCTGCAAGAGTCTTATTTGTCTGCTGGTAAATTTCATATATGTGCAACAGTCAAACAAAATAAGATCCAATAAACAGAACAATAAAGGTTACTTGTACAAGTCTAATTATTCCTTATGGTCCTTCCAGTCCTTCTGGACTGACAGTAACTCTTCTTGGAAGGTTTATGCATAAATGCTTAAGATACTTTATTAACTATCAATGAGCATCCACCAAGAAAGCATCTACCGAAATGATAACACCTTATGATAGTCAATCTGTAATATTGAGAATTTTACATTGAATGACATATGGGTGCATGCAGCAGCCATCTTAGTTATATTTCCTTAAATCAGAACCATAAATCAGTACAATAATATTTTGAAGAGAATAAACAAGTTTCAGTTATTGCCACATGACATCGCTCTGCATGTGTGATTGAGCAGATCTGAGCAGCAAAAGTTCTGGAGCAGCTATTGACAGCTTCAGATTCTGAAAACCTTGTGTCTTCCAGCTACTCAACAAAGTAATCAGTCATGATCATAATAATAATTACAAGTAATAATCCTTGCATTTCATATAATGTCTTTCACTTGGGAGGATATGTTAAAGTGCTTCACAGCTAGTGAAGTTAATATTGTATTTTGAAGGCGCAGCACAACAATATCCCACAATGACCTTGAAGTGAGTGACCAATTTTTATTGCAGGATTGTTGGACAGGACACTGGGCGAAACTCCCTTCACTCTTTGAATAAGTATGATGAAAGTTTGGTTTTATGTGTGTTTTCGTGGAATTGGCAAAGTATTGCTTTTTTCTTCATACAACAGGTTTGTTACAACTTCAATATTTTTCAAAAAAATCTTCACCAGGATTTCTTAATGGATGAATTTCTCATCAAAACTGTAGTTCCTGGTTTACAATTTGTAACTGTTCTGCTGCTGACTTTCTCAGAAATTATTTTTCAAAGCACTTACTTAAATATTCATTACTCTTGGTTTGCTGACAAGCTTCAGCTTTTTTTTTGGTTCAAATTAATTTAATCCCATTTATTTAAGTCAATATGATTGATTTCATAGATATCAATCCTTGGATTTTCTTGAAAATTCATTGAAATAATTGTCAACTTGGTTGGTTCAGTGCCAGATTGCTTCCACAACACACGCTCATAAAGTTAGTCATAAGTAGTTTTATTACTGGAATATTATGGTGACATTATGAGGGGTTTATAATTGTTACCTTATATTTAATAGACTTTCAAAACTTTCACAAGTATTTTCTCAATTATGCTCCATGAAACCAGCAATTAGCAAAAGGTTACAATGTTACATTACCTCGAGGTAACAACATTGTTCATCTCATTGCAGGTCAAGAAAGCACCTTGTGTTTACCTAGCTGGACTATTATAGCTACGGCGAACCCCTGAATTGCTTTTGATTTATGTTTTACTTACAGTGTCTAATGATAATGTGACAATGAATAAAGACAGTCACTAAGCAATATGATGTGCATGTAAATCCCTTCGTATAGAATTTGAAATGATCACTATATTCCACAATTGTTGCCATGTACTAATTTCTGGGGACTGACGAACCAACTTGGTGAACCACTTCCTGGCTCACTCGGAAGTACATTCCATCCACCTAGTCAGAGTTTAACTCACACTTGTCAGATGTTAAATGACCAACTCGTGTCTATCCTCTTTGTGGGGGGGGGGGGGGGGGGGGGAGAGGTAAGGGACCTCTCCTGGGATCTGAACTGGCTCCAAGGTGACATGTTTGACAATGGAATGTCAGAATTGAGTTAACTCTCCGTGACAACTCTTGAATTGTTGAACTGAACCCACACTCAACTCCTGTTAGCCCTGCAAACCAAAGCCCTAACGGGTAGAGTAGCGGGAAAGCTTGCCAGATAGTGGCAAGCTATGGGTTTTTAGCTGGCTGGACTCCAGCAGTATCCCAATGCATACTCTGGGGTCTCCAAGCCCTGGATTAAGGTGCCAACCTGCACCTAATACTCTCTTATTTAGCAGGAAGCATCGCTCCAGGGAGAAAGTATGCATTCCAATAACTATCTCGGGAATTTTCATGTATAGGATGCATGGAACTCTCAGTTTGATTTGGTTACTCTTGAATTGAATTCAACAGGCATGTTTTGGTGGCACCTACTTTGCTGGGTCGTAAGTGAATTGAAATGCCTGAAGTCATTATGAGATTGAATTACATCCAGGCCAATTTTTAATGTCTCAAGACTCGGTTGGATGAAATAAGTTTTTCAAATAGATTAGGAAACTATATGTTATGTTAGGGCTCAAATAAATGTTAAAATAATAATAATCCTTGCATTTGATATAGCGCCTTATCACGCCTTCTAGACGTCTCAAAACGTTTCACAGAATATACTGTAAAGTGAATTGACTGATATTTTTGTGGGTGAAATATAGATACTAAATAAGAAATTGTAGTAATGAAAATTGTATCAATAACATTGAAACTAGAAAAGATGAAGAAAATAAGGGAATAAAAAGGTACCACAAATAATTTGTCTATAATTTTAAAATTTTGATTTTTTTTGTCATTTAGACAAATAATAGTTAAGAAGGTAGTCTAGCATCAAGTAACCTTACTACTTTACTCAGAGGGTAATCAATGACTGGAATAGGTGGCCAGGTAAAGTGGTTGGGATCAGGACACTGGACTCACTTAAAAAGCAACTTGATGCAGTGATGAGGGAATGGTAGTGTAGGTGTTCAGGAAGGCTGAAATTGGATGGGCTGAAGGGCCTTCATCATCCAGATAATCTTTTGATCTTTTGATTACCGTTCTTGTGAACTTATGATTACTGTCCATTAATGGCGTCTCCTCTAGCCCCACACTGTCACGTGCTGCATCTCTCAGGGCTCTGTTCTTGGTCCCCTCCTCTTCCATATATACATGCTCCCGCTCGGTGATGTCATCCGCAGGCATGCGGTCAATTTCCACATGAATGCGGATGACACACAACTCTATCTCTCAGCCTCCACCCTCAACTCCAGGACCACTACTGTTCTGGCTAATTGTCTGTCACACAAAGTCCTGGATGAGAATCAACTTCCTCCAGCTGAATGTTGACCCTCTTGCTTGGCTCCCAGCAGCACCTCCTCACCTCAGTCGCTGACATTATCACTGTTCATAGCTGCACTCTTCACCTCACTGAGCCAATATGAAAACTTGATGTCCTTTTCGACCCCCAGCTATCCTTCAATCCCCACATTCATTCCGTGACCCATTCCACCTTTCCTCACCTCCGCAACATTGCCTGCCTCTGCTTCTCACTGCAGGCCGCTGAGACCCTGATCCACTCTTTCATCAAATCCCAGCTTAACTACACCAATTGCCTGCTCGCTGGACTTCGCAACTCTTCTCTCCACAAGCTGCAGATTATTCAAAACTCTGCAGCTCATGTCCTCTCCTGCACCAGGCTCCGTGAACCAATCACCAGGTTCTTGCCCGACTTCACAGGCTCCTGCCGATGTGAAAGGTGCTATACAAATGTAATTTTGTTGTTGTTGTAACTCTATCCCGCAATCCCTCCACCTCACCCCTCTCTTGCCTCTTTCAAGTCCCATCTGAAGACCTTCCTCTTCGACCGTACCTTTTGGCCACCACCAATCACAATCCTCCACCCCTCCTGACCGCAACCAAAAAACCCTGACTGCCCAGCGCCCTGGGACGTCTTTCCAATGTGAAGGGTGCTATACAAGTGTAATTTGTTGTTGTTGTTGGGTAACATTGAGTTCAGTTAGTGAGCCGAATGAATCATACTGACCCAGGGAGCACTCATGTGAGGTAACGTCTTGGAGCACTTAAGTGCTCTGAGATGCTACCCTGCGTGGAGGTTGCTATATAAATGCAAGTTCTTGTTGTTGCTGAAATTACTTGGGATTTCTGGCAGAACGGAGATACATTTTTAGATGGGCAAATTTTGTAAATATAAAATATATGATTGCTGAATTAAGGAATGCTTGACAATAATTTTTTTTAGCAAAAACTGCTTTGTACATTCTCTCTAGAGCAAATCTTTGTGCAAACCATTGTTTGTGCCTTTGTCTAACTCTTCAAGGACAAGATCATCATTATATTTACATTCATTTTTGACTGATTTGCTTGTGCCAGGCTCAACAACATCCTCTGTGTTTATAGTTATCGGATCCTGTGCAATTTTATTCAGTGTTGGTAAAATTATTTTGTTTGGTATGGTACGAGAATAGGTCTCTCTGCGTTTGTTTTTGAAGGCGAACAACTGAAACCTGAAAGCAGTTTGAAAGCCACGGCGGAAATTCTTATTGAAATAGCCATAGATAATGGGATTGACACTACTATTGAAGAAGGCTAACCAATGTGCAAACGGATAGATGTAGAAATTTATCACTCTGAACTGACTGTTGGTGAGCCTTGCATAGTCAGATAACATCATTAGAGTCCACAATGGGAGCCACGACAGAGTGAAAAGCAATGCTACAATGGCTAACATCTTGATTACCTTTTGCTTCTTCTTAGGTACAGAATTTTGGTTTTCCTGACCAGGTTTTCCACCAGCAGGCAAAATGCTTTTAAGTAGTGTAATCCCTATCCTTGCATACATGATAACAATCAGTGATAGAGGAGCCAAATAAATGTTGGCAAACAAAACTGTGGTATAGATATTTCTCATCTTCTGATTAGGCCATGCTTCAAAGCATTGGTAGTAAGCATACGTTTTGTTGCTGGTAGTGGAGACCACTTTAACATTGTCAGGCAATTTAATCACTTGCAGCATAATAGCAGAAGGACACATGATTGAAACGGCCAAAACCCATATCACAACGATGATTACAGTGGCAGTGACTATGTCGAGCTTTTGTTTGAAAGGGTACACAATGCACCTGAACCTGTAAAATTAAAAATACATAGTTTAATGCTTGGGTGATTTCCTCTGCTGTATACATTTAATTGGTGTGCATGCATGAAGAAGCAATGAATGTTAATATTCTCCCAATGGACTACTTCAAACTATTGATGGAATGCCTTTCCTTTTTTGACAGCTATTATAAATACAAATTATGAAGAAAAATACAATAGGTTCAGTGCTGAGGAATGGTCAGTTTTGAGATCTTGATTCCAAATAGAAGCCTTGGTCATTTTGGGGAGGATCAGATCAGTAAGAGATACTTTTGCAGACCTCTGCATGATCTTGAGCATTTTTTTGTTTTTTTATTTACAGGCTTCCTTTATAGCAGCAGCTCACTGTTTCCAAATTCTTTACTTATTCTATCGTAAGCTGAATTGATGTTCAAACCCTCCTTATATTGTTATTTGCCCACCCCATACCATTTACAAATGGCTGTTTAATATCAGCACAGCACTGGAGCCAGCTCATTGATCCTGGAACCAAATTATTTCACTTTCTCTTACCTGTCCACTGCAATTGCAACTAATGTGAAAACTGAAGCTGAAACAGAGACTCCTTGAACCAGCCCACTCATCTTGCATACAAAACTTCCAAATGGCCACCCTGTAAAACAAAATACACTTCACATTGTTTAACATAGAGAAACAAATGTTTACTTGGTTTCAAGCCCTACATTAGGACTTGAACTCATAGTCCATCTGACACATAGTACAGTGTTGGGGAAGCACTGCATTATCAAAGGGCACATTAAACAAAGGTTATGTATACCTGTTTAGGCAAATATTAAAGATTCCATGTCACTATTTGACAAGGGAAGGGAGTTTCCCAGTGTCCTGGCAACAACAAACTTCCAGATAAACTGGTCATTGATCTCAAATATTTTGGGGACCTGACTGATGCAAATGGCTGTTGTGTTTGACAGTCACAGAATCTGTGAAGGCTTTGAGACATTTTGATGAAATAAGTTTACAATAATAATGATACTCCTTACATTTGTCATAGTGCCTTTCGTGTCAGAGGACATCCCAAATTGCTTCACAGTATACAACGTGGAGTGTGTGTTTTGTGGGTGAAGATTTTATAAGATGTTTTGCCCACAAAATATACAGTCAATTCACTTTACAGAATATTCTGTGAAGCACTTTGAGACGTCTCAAAGACATGATAAGGCACTACATCAAATGCAAGGAGTATTAGTATTATAAGCACGCAACAACAACAACAACAACAACAAGATTCCATTTATAAAGCGCCTTTCACGTCAGGAGGACGTCCCAAGGCGCTGCATAGTTGGGTCATGACCCGAGCAAGGGGGGAAATGGTCAGGGTGAGGGGAGGGAAGGGAGGGAGAGAGGAGGGGGGAAATGGTCAGGGTGAGGGGAGGGAACGGAGGGAGCAAGGAGGGGGGAAATGGTCAGGGTGAGGGAGGGGAGGGAAGGGAGGGGAGCGAGGAGGGGGAAGAGAGTCGAGAGGGGAGCTGAAGGCACGGTCAAAGAGAAAGGTTTTGAGACCGGCCTTGAAGGAGGAAAGGGAGGAAGCGACGAAGGCACTGGGGGATGGAGTTCCAGAGCCTGGGGGCTGAGAGGCTGAAGGCCCGACGACCGATGGTCGGGCGGTTGGGGCGGGGGACGTGGAGCAGACCAGAGCCAGAGGAACGGAGGGTACGGGCAGGTAGGTAGGGGGATAGTAGGTTGGAGAGGTAGGAGGGAGCAAGGCCGTGAATGGCCTTGTAGGTGAGGATGAGGATCTTGAAATCAATGCAAGTTGTTCCTTTCAAATTCTGTGTAGATTAACAATCGTACTTAATCCTATAGGCAGAAGTCACACTTGTTCATCAAATGGGGATGGTTTAAACCAATTTGGCAGGGGGAGAGGTACCAGGATTAAACATCAGAGAGGAGAAACAAGGTGCACAGAGGACTAAAAGAGACAAACAGCCTTGAAATAAAGAGTCGTCCACAAATAAGAGGGATCAGACACGGGATAAAACAAAGTGGAATAAGAGATTTTTGGAGTACATAAATGCACAGAGCGTGACAAATAATATTGGTGAGCTGCAAGCACAAGTTGCCACATGGGGTTATGATATAGTGGGAATAACGGAGACCTGGCTCAAACAAGAGCAGGAATGGGAGCTTAACATTCCTGTCAACAATGTATTCAGGAGGGATAGGGAAGGAAATAAAGGAAGAGGGGGGTTGCAATATTAATCAAAGATACTGTTACAACCTGGAAAGGGATGATTAACTAGTGTGATCAAAGACAGGATCTATTTGGTTAGAGTTAAGGAACAGAAAAGAAGCTGTTACGCTGCTGGGTATATACTATAGACCATCAAATAATGGGAAGGAGATGGAGGAGCAAATCTCAGAAAGATGTAAAAACAGTAAGTAGTGATAATGGGGCCTTCAATTATCCAATAATAGACTGGGAAACAAACAGTCTAAAGGGTAAAGAGGGGGAAGAATTCCTGAAATGTGTACAGGAGAACTTTCTTGATCAGTATATTTCCAGCCCAACAAGGAAGGAAGCAGTGCTGGATCTAGTCTTGGGGAATGAAGTGGGGCAAGTGGAGCGTGTGTCATCTGGATAACAGGGATCACAATATCAGCAGGTTTAGACTAGTTATGGAAAGGGACAAGGAACAATCCAAGGTGAAGATACCCAACTGGATGATGGCTAATTTCAGAGAGTTGAAAAGAGATTAACCTATATGGATTGGAAACAAAGATTGGCAGGTAAAACAGTAAACGAGCAATGGGAGGCCTTCAAGGAGCAGATAGTTTGGGTACTCCCTTGGTACTCCCCCTTGGTGACATCATCCGCAGACATGGGGTTAACTTCCACATGTATGCGGATGACACCCAACTCTACCTTTCCTCCTCTACTCTCAACTCCACGATCACCGATGTCCTGACAGCCTGCCTGTCCGACATCGAGTCCTGGACGAGAGACAACTTTCTTCAGCTCAACGTGCGAAAAACCGAGGCCCTCCTGATTGGCTCACGTCAGCGCCTCCGCACCTCAGGCGCTGACACCATCAGCATCCAAGGCTGCACTCTCCACCTCTCAAAGCCAGTCAGGAACCTCGGCGTTTTGTTCGACCCTGAGCTGTCCTTTCTCCCTCACATCCGCACCACAACTGGCACCGCCTTCCATCACCTCCGGAACATCGCCAGACTACGGCATTACCTCACCCCTCACGCTGCTGAAACCCTGGTTCACGCCTTTGTCACCTCAAGGCTGGACTATGGGAACTCTCTCCTCGCCGGCCTTCCCGCCACCTCCCTCCACAAGCTGCAGGTCATTCAGAACTCTGCAGCTCGTGTACTGTCCCGCACCAGGCTTCGGGACCACATCACTCCCACCCTCGCTCGCCTCCACTGGCTCCCCATCCCCCAGAGGATTGATTTCAAGATCCTCATCCTCACCTACAAGGCCATTCACGGCCTTGCTCCCTCCTACCTCTCCAACCTACTATCCCCCTACCTACCTGCCCGTACCCTCCGTTCCTCTGGCTCCGGTCTGCTCCACGTCCCCCGCCCCAACCGCCCTACCATCGGTGGTCGGGCCTTCAGCCTCTCAGCCCCCAGGCTCTGGAACTCCATCCCCCAGTGCCTTCGCCATGCTTCCTCCCTTTCCTCCTTCAAGGCCGGTCTCAAAACCTTTCTCTTTGACCGAGCCTTCAGCTCCCCTCTCGACTCTCTTCCCCCTCCTCGCTCCCTCCCTTCCCTCCCCTCACCCTGACCATTTCCCCCCTCCTCGCTCTCTCCCCTCCCCTGACCATTTCCCCCCTGCTCGGGTCATGACCCAACTGTGCAGCGCCTTGGGACGTCCTCCTGACGTGAAAGGCGCTTTATAAATGGAATCTTGTTGTTGTTGTTGTTGTTGTACAGAATAAAACCCATTCCCATGAGGGGGAAAGATAAGGCATCCAAAGTGCTCCCTGGATGACTAAAGAAATAGGGATTAAAATTAAACAAAAAAGGAAGCTTATGATAAATGTCAGGATCATAACACAGTAGAGAATCAAGTAGAAACAAAGTGCAGAGGAGAACTGAAAAAGGAAATAAGAGAGGCAAAACGAGGTTATGAGAAAAGATTAGTGAGTAACATAAATGGGAACACTAAGGTCTTTTATAAACATGTTAGGAGTAAAAGAATCGTCAAAGGAAGGGTGGGGCTGATTAGGGACCAAAACGAAAACTTTTTGTGGAGGCAGAGGGCACGACTGAAGTGGTGAATGAATACTTTTGCATCTGTCTTCACAAAAGAAGAGGATACTACCAATTTCACAGTAAAGGAGGAGGGGTAGAGAAATTGGATAAAATTAAAAATAGAGAGGAGGTACTGGAAAGGTTGGCAGTTCACAAAATAGAAAAGTCACCTGGCCTGGATGGGATGCATCCTAGGTTACTGAGGGAAGCAAGGGTGAAAATAGTGGAGGCTCTGGCCACAATCTTTCAATCCTCCTTGGATATGGGAGGGGTGCCAGAGGACTGGAGGGTTGCAAATGTTACACCCTTCTTCAAAAAAGGGGAGAGGGATAAACTGCAGGCCAGTCAGCCTAATGCCAGTGGTGGGGAAACTTCTAGAGACCATAATCTGGACCAATATTGATTTTCACTTAGAAAAACATGGGTTAATAAAGGACAGTCAACATGGATGTGTTAAAGGCAAATCGTGTCTGACTAACTTGATTGAGTTCTTTGAAGTAACAAAGAGGGTTGATTAAGGTAGTGCAGTTGATGCTGTGTATGTGGACAAGTACCACAAAATTGACTTGCTAGCAAAACTGAAGCCCATGGGATTAAACGTACAGTGGCTGCATGGATCCAAAATTTTCTGGGAGACAGAAAGCAGAGGGTAGTGGTGAACGGTTGTTTTTTCATATTGGAGGGAGGTATACAGCTGTGTCCTAAGGGGGTTGGTATAAGGACCACTGTTCTTTTTAATATATATTAATGACCTGGATTTGGATATAAACCTAAAACCCTCATACACGCATGTGTCACCACAAGGCTCGACTGCGGAAACTCCCTCCTTGTCGGCCTCCCAACTCTTCCCTCAACAAGCTGCAGAACTCTGCAGCTCATGTCCTCTTCCACACCATCCTCCGGGACCCCATCACCCCCACCCTCGCCCATCTCCACTGGCTCCCCATCCCTCAGAGGATAGAATTCAAAATCCTCATCCTCACTTTTAAGGCCCTCCACAGCCTTGCCTCCTCTTACATCTCTGACCTGCTGACCCCTTATCAACAGGCTCCTGCCTGCTCCAGGTCTCCAGCTCGATCCACCCTACCATTGGCAGCTGGGTTTTCACCCCCTCTCTGCCCCCACTCTTCGGGACTCTATCCCAAGATCCCTTCACCTTGCTCCCTCTCTTGCCTCATTCAAGACACGACTCAAGATCCTGCTTTTTGACCATACCTTCAGCTATCCTCCTACTCACTCTACCCTCCCTCATCCCAACCCTGCCCCCCCCCCCTGTCCTCCCGATGTGAAAGGTGCTTTACAAATGTAATTTTGCTGTTGTATAAAGAACACAATTTTAACATTTGCAGATGACACAAAACTTGGAAATGTAGTAAATAGTGAGGAGGATAGTAGTAGCAGACTGCAGCAGAACATAGACAGGCTGGTGAAATGGGCAGACACATGGCAGATGGAATTTAATGCATAGAAGTGTGAAATGATGTATTTTGGGAGGAATAATTAAGAGAGATAACACAAGGTGAATGGTACAATTTTAAAGAGGATGCAGGAACAGAAAGACCTGGGCGTTCACGTACACAAATCTTTGAAGATGGCAGGACAAGTTGACAAAGCATATGGGATCCTTGGCTTTATAAATCGAGACATAGAGTATAAAAGCAAGGATGTTATGTTGAACCTTTACAGATCACTGGCTAAGCCTCAGGTGGAGTATTCTGTCCAATTCCGGGCACCACACTTTAGCCTTTGAGAAGGTTCAGAGGAGATTTACAAGAATGATACCAGGGATGATGGACTTCAATTGTGTGAAGAGACTAAAGAGGCTGGTTGAGGAATGATTTAATAGAGGTGTTCAAAATTATGATAGAGTAGATTTTTCCTGTCGGGTGGGTCGGTAACCAGGGGACACAGATTTAAGGCAATTGGCAAAATAATCAAGTGGGAGATGAAGAGTTTTTTTTTAACCAGAGAGTTGTTACAGTCTGGAATGCATTGCCTGAAAGGATGGTGTAAGCAAATTTGATAGCAGAGGTATACAAAAGGAAAAAAATATAGGGTTATGGGGTAAGGGGGGGAGTGGGATTAGTTGGTAGCTCTTTCAAACAGCCGACACAGGCACTCTGGGCTGAATGACCTCCTTCTGTGCTGTAAGATTCTATGATTCTACGATTCTATGAAAGTTGCAGCTCTGATATAAAAGAGTAACACTCAGTGGGTCCACTGCACAGAAAGAAAAGCAATCTCCTAGCTGATGAGCATCGTTATAATAAAGATACACCAGCCTGATGCTCTGCCCAAATATAAAAGAATACAAATACCTGTTCATGAATGAAGAAGGAGCTACACGGTTCATCACTGATTGAATGACCACTACTTCTTCACTTCCATTGTTCCAGGTGAATTCAATGGAAATCATTAACAATGTAAAATGTTTGCACCTTAGAAAATCAATGAGGTAGTTATCTGAGAAATCTTTAACAATGAGTATTTCTATCCTCATGCTTCTATCATTAGTACCTTAGTAATCTGCACTTTCTGTTCTTTGGCAATTCGGACTGATTTGGCTTTGCAACAACCAAATTTTTTAAAAAAAGTTTAAAAGCAGCAAATATCTTCTAACTGCCTGTGAATTTTTTTGCATGACAAATCTTGATCCTTTGATTTTATGTCCTTTTCTTAATAATTCATAATAATAATCCTTGAATTCAGCAAAACACTTTAGTACGGCGTAATGCCTGTAAGGGTTCCACAGCACTTTACTGCTGTAGTGACTATAATAATAATCCTTACATTTGATGTAGCACCTTATCACATCTTCGATGTCTCAAAGCACTTCACAGAATATACTGTAAAGTGAATTGACTGTATATCCTGTGAGCAAAATGTTGTACCCAATTTGCACACAGCAGTGTCCCACAAACAGCCGTAGAGTAAATTACCACTTTTTATTTTGAGGAATGTTGGCCAGGAAACCAGAAGAAACTCTTCTCTTTTCAAATGTGCCATGGGATCTTTAACATCCATATAAACAGGCAGACAGGACCTTGATTTAACATCTCATCTGAAAGATGGTACTTCCAACAATGTAGCACCCTTTCCCCCCCGTCCTCCCGTGGACTGGATCAGAGTGTCAGATTGTGACTGTAAGTTCAAAGCCCTGACTTGGGGCTTGAAGCTACAATCTTCTGACTTGGAGGTTGGAGTGCTACTAACTGAGGCAGGCTGACACCTGTTTATCAATCAGTAGGAACAATCTTCCACTCTTTCTCCTCTCAAAATCGGCTTTTTGGGGAATAGATCCAAAACAATGGGATCCACTATGCTAAGTGTAAGCTATCTCTCAATGCATGAAATTACAGGTATTCCTAATGTTATAATTAACAACCAATGAAAAGGATTTATTATGCAATGAACAACCGATCCTTTTCTTTGTAAATTTCACACTTACTTGTTGAAGGGTTGTACTTTTTGTACCTACCTGTCAGGATGTTATCCACAAGAGTTGTAGGCATACAAAATAGACCCACAAGAAGATCACTAACAGCGAGGTTAAGGATGAAGAGGTTGGTAACTGTGTGCATGTGCCTGTTCCTGAGCACTATAAAACATACCAGCCCATTACCCAGCATACAGAGGAGGAAGATTATCAGGTAGGAGACTATAAACACTGTTGCAATGGAATGAGAATGCTGGTAAAAGGGAAGATATGTTATGTTGCTCCGATATGCGTAGGAAGATGATCCATTCAAATATCGCCAGTGAGACTCTTGTAATGAAGTATTCTGATCCAATTCTTCATTCATTGCTGTAACTGTTCACAAAAAGAAACAGTGAGTGTTATAACAAACCAATGATAATTCCATCGTGAGAGTTAGAGGAATGAGCTATAAGCAGTGATTAAACTGGTGTTGCCTACCCTTTTATGGTCTGCTAACAAAATACATTTTCTTGATTGAATATTTCTTGATTGATGCCGTAAATGAAGAAAATTCAATCAAGAAAAAACTGGAAACTCATTGATTAATCGAACACATACTTACCTAGATTAGCGCCAATGTTCAGTGTTAGAAAAGGTTGATTTTAATATAGTTTGTAAGAAGAGCAATAGAAGAATTAATAGTGAATGTGTATATATAATATGTATATCGATATCCATATATGCAAGACGGAAGAAAACAGGGGGAGAAAGAAACTGTTAGTCGTAATTAGAAACTGTTTTACTAACATTTTAGGAATTGGCAGAATAAGCCATCCTGGTTCTGAAAGGTCAATGGTCAGTCAGTTGTGATGGTAAGAGAAGGCATAGAACAGGCTTCAAGAAGGGCCTAGGAAATCTGCATTCCATGAGGGCACCTAAGTAAAGCTGCTCAGTATTCTGTGAACACATGCCAATCACCTTAAATGTTTCTACCAGACAGAGACAGGCTCCGGCCTTGGAAGCGAGAAGCAAGATGTCATATGTTGAACAAAAATGAGCAAGCTGCTTTGTCTCAAAAGGGTTTGCTTATCTGGAAGATATGGGTACAAGGATGTGCAAGGGTCGAGTAAGTTGGGTACGAGCTAAGATGCTTGATTAGAGAAGAAGGGGGGAAGATCCCTAGGTGGAAAAAGTATAACTACCCTGACTTTAGGCAAGTAAGGCAGCAGATCCAGCCAGACAAAGAGGGCAGCCGAACCATCAGAGAGAAGGTGTGCTGAAACCATCGCAACTGACTGACTGGTAGTATAAGTTCTGCTTGGATTTGTCGGGTCATTATTCGAACCTCGGGATCGGGAATCCCAACATCGGGGAAGGGGAAACATCTTGACGGCCCTGCAAGCCACTTCTGGTCCTTAGCCATAGGTTGGCCACCACTCGATTAGACAAATAGGGCTTGAAATGAAGGAACCTTTGTAGCAATATATAAGTTAAATGGCATTGGTAAAGTAAACTCAAAACAATACTTTCGGATACACTGAGACAGCAGAAAAAGAGGACACAGGTTCAGTGTTGCAAAGGGCAATTTCAGAACAGACATCACAAAATAGTTATTTACCCAGAAGGTATTGACAATTTGTTTCGACTCTTATTCTTCTTCATAATATTTTATCTGTGCTCTAGCAAGTACCATTTCTCAATGTCATCTGCTTTCGATACTACCTCAACATTTCCCAAACCCTTTTCTCTGGATTTCTCAGCTCCACCAACTCCAGACTATACAGAACTTCACAACCATATTGTAAGCAATCCCAAAGTTCACCTGTATTACAAATTGACCAATGAAAAAGAACGCGAGGCCTTATGCGCTTGTTAGTGATAATAAAGCTGACTCTGAGGAATCTCTGATGCAGATACATGGCTGCTGCTAAGGCAAAAGAAGAAGTGTCAGGATGCTGATGAGAACAAAGGTCTGAATGATTGACTTTGAATATATGCTTTTAACCACACAACAAATGGTTAAAACAAACTTTTGAATCTGTGGTATTAATTACCTTGGAACTATTGTTGGAAACAAGCTGTTGGGACTGATAAAAGATGACAGCTATGGATATCAGTGACAAGATAAAGCTATTTTGACTTTCCAGAATTAGGTAAGCAACAACAAGAAGATTACATTTGTATAGCGCCTTTCACGTCGGGAGGATATCCCAAGCAGAACACGTCCCTCCAGGGAGAGAGTGCGTATTCCATACCGACAATCTATCTCTGGGATTTCCATGTGTAGGTGGGATACATGGAAATCTCAGCTTGGTTTGGATACTCTTAAGCATGGGGATGGGTTTCCGCATGTGTCAAAAAACAACAGCTGACCAAAAAACAATCTGATCAATTTATTGCTGTGAATTGTACTCCGAAATCGTGGAGTCTTGTAGTTCCGTGGTTAGAGCACTCGCCTCGCAAGTGAGAGACCTGGGTTCGATTTCCGGCAGGGCAAAACCTTGGCAAGTTTCCTAACTCCACGCACATGATAATAATCCCACAAGAAAAAAAACAATAATAAATTGGTCACTTCAGAACAACCCCAGGCTACTGTTTTCCACCACAACCCGACTCCTCCGTCCCCCCCGCCACCCCGCGCAGGTCATCTCCTCCAACCTTCACTGCGAGGAGATGCTGGATTTCCTTGAATCCAAGATCAAGGGAATTCGCTCCGCGGTCACTTCCCCTCCAACATCCACCAACCCCCCACCCCCTCACTCCCACACTCCGACTGCTACCCATCCTCCCCTACTCACTTTTGTACCCGTTTCCCCACCCTCTGTCACCAAACTCATCCTATCCCTGAAACCAACCACCTGCTCCCTTGACCCCATCCCCACTCCACTCCTTATCTCCCAGCTCCACTTTCTTGCCCCACATATCACCGACATTGTCAACCTGTCCCTCTCCTCTGGCTCTGTCCCCATTCCCTTAAAAACTGCCACCATCACGCCCACCCTGAAAAAACCCTCCCTTGATGCGTCGCAGCTATCAAGCTACCGGCCCATCTCCAACCTCCCCTTTCTCTCCAAGGTCCTGGAAAGAGTTGTCGCCTCCCAACTGCGCTCTTTCCTTTCCACCCATTCACTTTTCGAACCCCTTCAGTCAGGTTTCCGTGCTGCCCATAGCACAGAAACTGCCCTGGTCAAGGTCACCAATGATATCCTGACCATCTGTGACCAGGGCTCCCTCTGCCTCCTCGTCCTCCTCGACCTATCGGCAGCATTCGATACGGTCGACCACGCTATCCTACTCCACCGCTTGTCCTCCCACCTCAACCTTCAAGGCACTGTCCTTGAGTGGTTTAGGTCGTACCTTTCTCACCGTCTTCACTTTGTCTCGACAAATGGCTTCTCCTCCACCCCCGCACTGTCTCATGTGGTGTCCCTCAGGGCTCTGTCCTCGGTCCCCTCCTCTTCACCCTCTATATGCTCCCCCTTGGTGACATCATCCGCAGACATGGAGTTAACTTCCACATGTATGCGGATGACACCCAACTCTACCTTTCCTCCTCTACTCTCAACTCCACGACCACCGATGTCCTGACAGCTGCCTGTCCGACATCGAGTCCTGGACGAGAGACAACTTTCTTCAGCTCAACGTGCGAAAAACCGAGGCCCTCCTGATTGGCTCACGTCAGCGCCTCCGCACCTCAGGCGCCGACACCATCAGCATCCAAGGCTGCACTCTCCACCTCTCAAAGCCAGTCAGGAACCTCGGCGTTTTGTTCGACCCTGAGCTGTCCTTTCTCCCTCACATCCGCACCACAACTGGCACCGCCTTCCATCACCTCCGGAACATCGCCAGACTACGGCATTACCTCACCCCTCACGCTGCTGAAACCCTGGTTCACGCCTTTGTCACCTCAAGGCTGGACTATGGGAACTCTCTCCTCGCCGGCCTTCCCGCCACCTCCCTCCACAAGCTGCAGGTCATTCAGAACTCTGCAGCTCGTGTACTGTCCCGCACCAGGCACCGCGACCACATCACTCCCACCCTCGCTCGCCTCCACTGGCTCCCCATCCCCCAGAGGATTGATTTCAAGATCCTCATCCTCACCTACAAGGCCATTCACGGCCTTGCTCCCTCCTACCTCTCTGACCTACTATCCCCCTACCTACCTGCCCGTACCCTCCGTTCCTCCGGCTCCGGTCTGCTCCACGTCCCCCGCCCCAATCGCCCTACCATCGGTGGTCGGGCCTTCAGCCTCTCAGCCCCAGGCTCTGGAACTCTATCCCCCAGTGCCTTCGCCGCCTCCTCCCTTTCCTCCTTCAAGGCCGGTCTCAAAACCTTTCTCTTTGACTGAGCCTTCAGCTCCCCTCTCGACTCTCTTCCCCCTCCTCGCTCCCTCCCTTCCCTCCCCTCACCCTGACCATTTCCCCCCTCCTCGCTCCCTCCCTTCCCTCCCCTCACCCTGACCATTTCCCCACTGCTCGGGTCATGACCCAACGGTGCAGCGCCTTGGGACATCCTCCTGACGTGAAAGGCGCTTTATAAATGGAATCTTGTTGTTGTTGTTGTTGTTGATGACTGTCTGTGGTGTTGAGATTTCCGATCCCCAAGGTTTGAATCAATGACCAGACAACCCAATATGGTGCAATGTAATTTTATTAACAAAGAGGTATACAGTCAACCTAGGAAATGCAGATTCTAAAAGATATTACCCGATCTTCTGACGCCAGACAGTGAAGATGTTTGCAAAAGTACCCTGATGCTCTTCTACCTCCGACTGTACCGCTTAAGCCCCTTGCTCTAGATTAAATAATGTTTTACTTCCCTATCGCATCAGTTTCTACTAACAAATAAGACACACCATGCACCTCACCCCCTCTCTCTGTCCCAATCACAACTCATCATGCTCCTGATCATGCACTGATCAGGCACTGACCACTCGTCACATGGGTGTTTGCAACATGTTCGTAACGACCCTTGACTCACTTTTCCCCTGTGATTTTGCAGTCTACTGACTATGTTACTATCTCTTGCTAAACATCTATTTGCCTCACACAACGCTGTTGCTCAATTTTGCAACTGCCTGTTTTCTCAACCCTGAGCTTCCCTCGACAGCGGGACACTGCTGTTCGCAATTGGCTGCCACATTTCGCCCACAAGTATACAGTCAATTCACTTTACAGTATATTCTGTGAAGCGCTTTGAGACGTCTAGAAGACATGAAAAGTGCTATAACAAATGCAACGATTATTATTTGTTACAAATTATAATCATACATTTGATTAACTGTATAACCATGTTAACTTTTATTAAACATCATACTAATTAAAGGAAATTTTGTGTCAGTTCATACTTCACTGCAAGACATAAATTTGTAAAATCCTATAGTAT